GTACCACCCTTATCGCAGAAGAAACAACGGGCGATAGAGGTTTTATTAACAATACAGTACTGTAAAATAAAATGGCATGTTATGTGTATGTTGATGTTAATTAACATCATTATATCGCAGGGATTAAATATTGGAACAGCGAACAAGGTTTACCTTGAATTTCCTCATAGATGGTGGCCGGAGGATAAAGCCACCTTTGATTTTATCTGGCCAGAAAAAGTTAAAGAGGAATTCTTGCAAACTTATGGTCAAGTAAGTAAATATTCGAGTGTCTAATCTAAGAATGTTTCCGAATGCCTATCTAAACTTGCAGATTATAACGAATAATTTGTTTAAAAGTCAATTTCGACGATTTTTTCCCTATCCTTTTACTAATCTCATCAAATATTTGTTTTAGAGTAGCGAGTGGCTCTGTGACGTGTTCACGTTTTTCACTGTGGCTTATAAGCCGAATCTTTTATGTGCTTGGATAACTGGAAAAAACGCGAGACACATAGAAACCTTATCGGATGTTGACGTATACGACGGATTGTATTTATTGTTAAATAAATCATTTGGAGAACATTACAATGTTGTGAAACCAACGAGAATATTAAGGTTATTATTAATTTTCCATTGGAACTGATTGAAAGAAAAATAATTAGATCCGCTTTAATTTATGGCCTTACTATATTGCCTGTTTTTTTTTTAACTTTTAGATCTAAATGGTATACCGATGAACATTTTCGAGGCTCGTATAGTTTCCAAAGCATGGTTTCCGAACAAATGGATGTAAAACCGAGAGATCTGGCCGAACCAATTATGAGTGGAAATAAACCTGTAAGTATCCAAAAATAAAGATAACATAATATTTTTCATTATTTGACACATTATAGTTAGTCTCCTCATCGTTTTATGTTGATTCTTCATTTTGTCAAAAAATCAAGATATGTTCTATTTTTAGCCTTAGTCTGTCATGTAGTTTTATCTTATATAAGTTGATCGTATTGTACAAGAAAGACTATTGACATTAACGAAATTAATCATGATTAGATAATTCTTTTCGCTGGAGAAGCTACGCACGATCATTATTATTCTACTGTACACGGCGCCGTGGAAACTGGTTTCCGCGAAGCTGATAGACTAATCAACTTTGAAAGGTAAGATTATGTCGATTGAAATTCATTTAAAGCTTAATATCAATAGCGTAATAAATACAATATTACAATAATAACGCTTAAAGCATTCATTTTTATCACATTAATTAATTATTATTTTACTTAATCAAATACGTTTTAAAAAATTGCGGAAAAATCGATTCTTAAACATTTTTTGCCACAAAATTTTTAATTTTTATAAATTAAAACTTATATTTTTCACTAAATTGTGATTTTTTCCAGTTTAATAAAATTAAATGAAAAAAAGGGAATGGTCTGTAAAGTAAAATTTAGTTTATAAATGATGTAAAATGTTTCTCTGTGGAATCATATCTAATGCATAATAAATTAATAATCCTTTCTGCTTATTTTTGCATGATCTCGTGTTGTGTTATATTACGTTATTATGTCTAGCTTATTAATGTTTGTATATTTTATTTCATATGAAACTTTTTTTTAATAGAAGTAGGTTTCTCTGCTTAATTTATTGTTACTTTTAAACATATCAGCTTTAAATTTTGCACAATAATACTTTTGCAATTATATTTACATTGATTGCATGCTTTTTCTTAGGCAATTAAACG